AACGAATAAAACAAAGTATTTGTAGACCATTAAGATAAACTAAGCATGCTTGTGTATTAGTTGATTCATAAGCATATTTTACTCTGAACTTAATTGACATCGATAATGCATCATAAGCAAAATAAAATGAATCTGAGAGACTGGGTAAACATCTAACACTAAATGAGAGAACAAATCTACAGTACAAGATGCATTAGTAACAAAATGCCTTCTAAAAGGTAAACAAATTAGTGAAAATGGTTTTGCAAAAAAATTAAAACTGAAAACGAGCCAAGCTAATGGCCAAGGAATTATAGAAAGTAACTAAAACCCCAGAACTCATTAGACAGACTTGAAAGTAAACTAATTGAGTACTAGTTTGAAAAAAATTAAAAGGTTGGTAACTACTGATGGTCCAGATGAAGTAGAAGATAACATTTCTTGGATCATTTATGGAAATAAATTCAATATTTATACAAAGTGTCCTGTCAATTTACATTCAATGAAAAAAATACCTTAACTACAATTACATCGAATTGTAAACACCTGAATTTAAGATATTAAAAGAAGTTTATTATAAAATCTTTTGCAGTTCCAAAGTCTTAGAAAAGTTCCAAATAGTTCCAAATGCCTACATATAGTATGGTTTGGGAGATTCAAGGATCGGTTGATAGAACCATTTTGGTGGTGGTGGTGTTTTCTTTGTTTCATACCAAGTAACTCAGAAATATTTCTAGAAAGTATGTTTGGGGACCAAAAGAAATGTGAAATTGGCAACCTTTATTTTTTTTTTAACTTATAAAGTTTTCTTATAATAAAAGTCTGGGAAAACATTTGGAAAGACACACAAATTATTGATAAATTACAAAAAGGTTCAGAACTAGGCTCCAAGAAATGTTTAAAATTGCAAAATGGAACATACCCCTAAAGGAAATGAGAACATTAAGTGATATACATGTTTGTTTTTTTTTTCGAAAACTACCAAAAATCAAAACTTTAAATTTATTATTGGTGTTTAAAAAAGCTACAGGATAATATTGTCTTTTTTTTAATGTTCTCATTGTGGATATGAAGGGGCAATGGAAATGGCACTTGTAAGGAAACAAGAGTGATATTTGTAGGTATGATTTAGAACAACCCATGGAATCTATTTTCTCCGACACGTGAAAACTCTCTTCAGGCTTTCTTTCTCTCCTGCTACCAGCCTTCTCTTTTCCAAGACTGCAGATACCAGATCAGCAGGGAGCTGGTAGCTACATACGTTTCCATAGAATATTTTATTTTTGTTTTGCACCTCAGTTTACGTCTCTGAGACCAAAACGGATGAGGGGGTTTTCTTTCTTTTATGAATTATTAATGACCTTTTCCGAAGAGCCTGACAGCACTCAAAATGATATGCACTCATGTGGACATATCTATTTTCCTTTTGTTTTACATTCACAATTAACATCCTTAAAAGCCAAAGGGACAATTCTTGTCTTAAGGTAACAATTACAGCAAACAAGTAAGGTGTTAGTTTCAAGAAAGCAACAACGTATGAAACAAACACTGACACATCCAATGCCTGCATTGTTTTATTTTGTCTCAGGATGTCATTAATATTTTATAGAAATGAGCAATTGGCATATATAAGGTGTAGTTAGTCGACAATAAATTATTTTACTTCATTGTGAAAATTAAGGATTTTTTCTTATCTAAAATATTGAACAGAGTTCTAAAATAGCATTTTACCATTTTTGTTTTGCTTCAGTAATAGATTATTCTGTTTAGAAGTTTGTTTCTTTTTTTTTAAAGCTTAAAACCAAGTCAGCCTCCAGAATAAAAGCAGCCACAACTTCTAATTTATTTTAAGGCTGAGTATTGTTATCCAGATTTACTATCAAAGTAATTAATGGTAACAACTGTGCATAATGTTCAGCTAATAAATGCTGTGCCCTGCAAGCCACAGAGGAGGAAGCCTAGCATGTACCAAGGTTGGAGGAGACAGCAAATGACAACCAAAGTGGGAAAATTTACTGCCGCACTCGTGTGAAGCACCCCAGACATCAATCCTGCCCCCTCACTACTGCAGAATCGAAGAGATTGGTGGCACTGGTTTGCATGTGCTTTCTTTGTTATTGTATCAAGTTTACTCTAACATTAAATATAAGTATGGTCAAAGAAAGTTTATCATGTCTGTCAGGAGGTTTGGTTTAACTGAAAGGTACAGATATATACCTTTAAATCACATATGTTACACAGACTTTTCAACCCTGTTGACTCTATTAAAACCTAAGAGTCATGAATTGTCAAACCTTTTAGGTTGTTGCCATACAAGTCTGTGAGAGGGTCCTCATGAGTGTGAGTCAAACCTTTAGAGTTCTAGGGCACTGTGAGATGCAACTGGGGGCTCCTTTGTAGAGAACTGCACGTGAATATTTCTCTGTTACACAAAGGTAGACGAAACATATACCCACACTGTCCCACTATGTTCTATAACTATTAATGCACAGCATAAAAATTAATCTCCGATTCCCTAAGGCCATAAAGCTATCAACTATGGCATGATTTGGCTAAAATAAAACCTTGTGGTGCCCATAGCCTCAATAAGTGTTCAAAATTTACCTTATTGTAAAAATTAAGTAACTGTTAGTGTTCTTCAGATTCTCATGATGCCCTTAGACATGTATCGACTAACCCAAAAATAATCCCTGCTTCCTCGCTCTATTATATATGGCTTCAGGATGCCATCTTTTCCTTTGTGTTGCAAGCAATAGTCTGCCATGAGATCATGAGAGGGAAAAGGCTTCCTACAATAATCAGCATGCCATTGCCTGACATCATCCACATGGAAGTCAATCAACAAAACTGTACTTTTTTGGAGTTCTTATCTGAGGGCACAGGAAAAAAAAGAATGGTAGCAGACACTGTCTGCCTCTCATCATTTTTTTATTAACAAAGTTCCCAAATACAGGGAGCACTCACTTCTCAGTGTTTCTTAGAAATGGCACCATCGTTTGATCAACCTCAAAACTTTCCTTAGCGGTTTGTCTATTAATAATATGAAAACTTTGAATAAATTTAAATTGCTTGTACTATTTGGCATCATTCCTCAAGTGTACCTTTAAGCACAATGAATATAAATTCAAAAGAATTTCTATGAAATCATCTATACCAAGTAGTCTCAGTCTTTATCTGAGAGCATGGTAGATTCACTGAACACATCTCTATGTTTAAAAGTATTTATTTATTTATTTATTTATGGTGGTATGTGTAGGGATATATTTACCAGAGTTGGTAGAGGTCAGAAAAAAACTTGCAGGAGTCTGTTCTCTCCTTCTACCTTGTGAATCCTGGGAAGTGATTTCAGGTCCTCAACTGGTGGCAAGTCCCCTTTCCTACTGAGCCATTTCTCCATCTACAAATCACAGTTTTTCTTTGGCAAGACATTACCTCACCTTCCCAGTCATCCTGAAACCAAGCATATACACACTGAAATTGCTTTACAAATGATGGCGGAGCTTTTCCTTGAGGTCACTGATGCAGTGATTCATCCTGTGGGCTGCAAACTTAAAGCATCTTAAAGCACAGTCACTGTTCCAGAGCATATTTTAGCCATCATTTTACTTCCGCCTCCTTTAAAATAGCATTAAATTTATACATGTATTTTCTTAAGACCAAAACTTTGAATTTAATACAGTTATAGGTTTAGTATATGTGATGAAGAAGGAATGAGAAATATTTTGTAGTTACTGCCAATGTAGCTCTGAGAAGGATCTGTGTTGTATCCTTGAGTAACCTAAGCGCAAAAGGGAGATGAGGAAAAATGCGTACATTCTTAATGCTGTGTCTTTTCATTTGATGTAAACATCAGTGTTTCTAAGCCCTGATTGCAAAGTAAATACTGGCTGGTCAGGAGATGTACATTAAGCACATTGTTTAAAAAGGTCTCTGTGAATAAGACAAATGAGAATAAAGTTTAAAATATGACCACAAGACAGTTCAACAATTAAAAATAGAGACCTCTGATAAAGGAAGAATGTAAGTCAAAATTTACCCTGCTGAGAGTATCCAATATTCTGTTTCTTCAGTGATCATGATGGTCTTCTACTGTTTAATTGCATCGATCATAAAATATCCAGGAATGGGCATATTTTATTTAAAAATGCACTTAAAAAGTATCAGTATAATAAATATGGCAATCAAATGAACGAGAGAAAACCCAGACAATACAGAGTAGAAGGAATCTTCAAATACCACATTATACTTTCAGAGAGCTTAAATACGAAACTGAAGTCAAAGGTTATGAGTAGCTTTCTGCAGCTTGATGTATGAGTTATTTACATATATACTCCAATTTTTCTTCTTCTACAGGTGATCAAATACTCTGACCAAAGCAACATGGGGAAGGGTTTAGTTTCTTGAGTTTATAGGCTATTGTTCATCATTGAGGGAAATTGGGTAGGAGCCTGAAAGCAGGTTAATTTGCTCTTCTACACTGACAAAAAACTCACAGTCAAGGCAGATCAGTAGAAATCATGAGGAAATACTGCTTGTTGGCTCACTCACTGACTTATGTTTAAGAAGGTTTTTATATGACCTCCTGCTCAGGGACTGGTAATTCCCACACTGGGCTACAACTTCTTACATAAATTAACAATCAAAGCAATCTACCATTGATGCTAAAAGGCCAATCTTATCTGAGTAATTCTTCAGTTGAGGTTCTTTTCTCACTTGACTCTTGGCCTGTGTCAAACTGAAAGCCAAAGATAACTAGAATAATGAACTATACAAGCAAATTAATACATTATTGAGCATTTTCTCTCTAATATTCTGATAAGCAGGTAGTCTTAAAGTCCTTGAGTGGGGAAAATGTTATACATGTATTTAGCTGGAAATCCTAGAGAATTAAAGGACTGTTTCCTCTGGTTTATCCACTATACTGGTATGACTATAAGGATTTAAAAATGCATTCTGACCTAATAATGATGTAAGCCATAAATGAAAGGTAGTCATGGTTATTGTTTCTGGGTGCTGTTGTTGTCTTGAATATGCTCTCGCCTTCATGCCTACTTTCTCCAAGCCACTTTCTTTGTGAAAAAGATAACCAATGCTGTCTCATGTTGGTAATTATATTCTACACAATCTGTTAGAAGGGAGATATGGAAACTAATGGGAATTTTAAAGATGGAAATAATATTGAAGAAAGAGCATAATTTGAACAGATAGCATTTACTAAAGTCTAGCAGTGGAGATGGTGGTGGTCTTCGATTATTCTTTGTCTACAATTATGTATGGAGTTAAGTTTCTCAAGTCACAGAATCTGTAAAGGAAAGGAACTCTTTTAGGAAAGAAGGAAGGCTGGACACCAAAACCTAGCTTTGACTATCCATAAAAGCTGGTCCATTAAACCTACCATTCTTCAGAGAGCAAAACATTTCAAATATATGTTACCACATATAGTTCTTTAAAGGTACTAGTTCAATAACCAAATGATGGGGAGATAATAAGATGCTCACCTTCCTAGACCTGGAGGAACTTGAACTTCCCACAGGGCAGGAAACCCTGACTGCTCTTAGGACTGAAGAGGGAGGAGGAGAGGGAGTGGGGGGAGTGGGATGGTATTGGGAGGAGGGGAGGAAGTGGAAATTTTTATAAATAAATAAATAATAAAAAATAAGAGGACTTTATAAGAATTAGTAAAATGATCTAGTAGAAAAAATGTATTCTAAAAGGAAAAATAAATTGGATAGGAAAGCTCCGGCATGTTGATACTTGTAGCAATTTCATACCATCCTGTAGAATGAAATAAATCACTGTGGAAGCCTGCCGATAAGCTCTGTAGCATGGTGTGAGAGATGGAAAGAAAAGGAGCTGTGATGGCTTGGTGGAAGTGGTTTTACTTCAAGAACTATTTGGTGAGATTTTTAAAGAACCTGGAAGATGTCCTCCTGAATTCCTCTCTGAAGCTCAGAAAAGGTAAATTCAAATCTAGGAAGCTTTTGCCTGCTGCCTCTCTTTCCTATGTTGAGCCTGTTATAGCACAAGACAAGATTAACAAGAAGTCAGATTCATTCAGATGGCTAGTCATGTGACGTCCCTGGTGCTTCATTCTGGTTTCTAGTGTCTGGGCGGCATTTGAAGCACCTTTGCTTTGTGGCTGGCTATTGAACAGTCGTAATTGTCCTACATGAGCTAATTAGGCAACTGGAGTGTGTTTACCACACTTAACAACTTCTTGTCCAGCATAATCTCTCAAAACTAGTTAACAAGGGAGAGCAGTGTAGAACAATTGCCTAATTGTGTATACAGTAGCTCTTAAAATTAACCAATGGTTTCAATTAGCATAGCTGAGATGAGCATTGCTCACTTCACTGTTGTGTAGTGGCCTTCTGCAATCACTTTCCTGGAATTGGTTTTCTATAAACAGATTGAGATTTACCAGGTCATGGAGAAAATTATGCAGGCTGGGATTTAATTTGAACTTGAGAAGAACCACAAAAAAATAATGTGACATTTTCTTTTGTTTTCAGATTGCTTTAAGAATGCATGAGTAGAGAAAATTGGATATTATGTCTTCATATCATAAATTTCTTGGGGGAATATATGAGAATGTTAACAAAATGCCAAATATTATACATATAATTTCCTAGTGACAGAAACAACTTTCTTTGCAGGCATTAATAAGTCAGGCTATTATCTTATACAGTAGGACCATAATATAAAATAGACTTTGAACAGAGCATAAATATTTTCAATGTTTGGAGCCTATCACTGAATAAGTAAAGGAGGTAGACCTAACTGCTTTGCAATTGGATTAAGGCTCACTCCACAGAAGGAAACACACATCTGGCACATTAAGTCTTTCCAAAACTTCATGGTTTAGGAGCTCATAGTCTCTTTCGGTGAAAGTACAATGATTATTCTGAAAAATGGACATATTAAAAACTGCCTCCTCCATTCATGTCCAGTTCTCAGACACCATCAAAGAATTTATCACAACTAATCAACATTCAGAGAGTGTCAGGAAAGTGCTCATCCGCAAATAAGACATTAATATCTATACCATGTTCTCTCTCCTGCAAGGTTCAGGCACCATCAGTGGGGAGCAGACAGAAGGTTGTTAGAACCATGGATCAGAGAGGACCTCTGATCCATAACAATATTTTGACTGGGAAACATAGACCTACTTGCAGTATTTGCATCACTCTTTCATATGAGCTCGTACATAGCAGCTGCGGTTGCCTACCAGGACTAGCACAAGATAAAGCCGGTTTGTTAACTTCTAGCACGGAGTGGAGAAAGGTTCATAAGATCCAGTTTCTAACTGAGAAACTACGGATCATTGATGGCTTTTCGGGAAGGAAGAGTCAGCTTTCTTCAAGGGTACAGCCCCTGGTAGGACAGTTATAATTCTAGTGGATGACCCCATACCCAAGAATATACTGGTAACAAAAATTGGATGCCATGAATTATAAAAAAAAAAAAGAGGGAGAGAGAACATGGAGTTGGGATATGGAGTATGAGAAGGAGTGGATTTTGGAGGAGTCATGGAAAGGTGTTGTGGGATGAATATGATCAAATATGATCAAAATACACCTTAAGAATCTCTCAAAAATTAAAAAAGGGTTATATTTAAAAAGTAATGATATAAAAGATGACACTGAGACACTGTGATCGGAGTACACTTTTACTTAAAGTAAAATAAATTCATTACTTTCTTGCCTTTTTTCTACATTTCTGTAAAATGTAGCAAGAAAAACAAGGCGAGAAATGATTAAATCTTAACTAAATCTAATGAACTACAAATAGTATTTTTAAGAAATGGAGTGCAGAATATTGTCAACACTTCCAACTGAATAGGTCATATTTTCATAACATTTTTTTCTGAACTCACGTGAGGCATTCATCTTGATCTACTGAACAAAGCCTTCCAAGTCTGGCTATAGTAAGGAGACGTGGGCAAGTCTCAAATGCACTCAAGAGTGAGATAAAAATATAATTAAAACATTACTTTGCTTTTGAGTCAACATAATTTACTTGTATTGGTTCTTTTATTCTGCCACATAATCCAAAAGAAACTCTTTATGTAAGCCATGTTGTAAACCTTTTACTTATTCCTGAAGAAGCAAAAGGGATCAGGACGGTAGAGGTGGGGAAGGAACAGAATGGGAGAATAATAAAAGAGATATTTTGGGGACATTATGGAGTTAGGAGAAACTTGGTGCCAGGGAAAGCCCCAGGAACCCACAAGGATGACCCCAGGTAAGATTGGCCTTCCCCTGTAATCAGATTGGTTTATACTCTAATTGTCACCATAGAGCTTTAATCCAGTAACTGATGGAAGCAGATGCAGGGATCCACAGTTAAGCACTGGGCTGAGTTCTGGAAGTCCAGTTCAAGAGAGGATGGAGGGATTACTTGAGAAGGGTCAGGGTCAAGATCATGACTGGAAACCAGTAAAGACAGCAAGCCTGAACTTTATAGACTCTGGACAGACAGCTGGGAAACCTGCACAGAACCCACCGAGGCCCTCTGCATCTGGGTGTCAGTTGTGTCATTGTGTGGCTCCTAACAGTGGGACCAGGACTTGTCCCTGATGCATTAGTTGGTTCTATTATTATATTATTATATTAGTTATATTAAATATATTACATATTATTATATTAATTATTATATTAGTTGGAGCCTATTCCCTTTGGTGGGATGGTTTGATCAGTTTTGAAGCAGAGATGGGGAGCTTGGTAGTTCCTCAACTTGACATGCCATGCTTTGTTGATTCCTCAAGGAGACCCTACCCCAATCTGAATGGAGATGGGGTGGGGAGTGAATGAGGGTTAGGAGGGAGGTGGGAGAGGGAATGGGAGGAAAGAATGGAGGGGAAACTGTGTTTCATATGTGAAATAAAATAAAGAAAATATTTTATAGAAACTTTTATGTAAGACAGTGACAGGAAAGTAAAAAATGGAACTATTGCATTCTTACCTGGCTCTTATGAATAATGAAGAGAAAGATAGTATTATAAATACCCTGCTATGTTTTTAAGTATTTCCTGCAAATGTGGAAGCAGGATTTAAATAACCAATCTTTGCAATGATCTAGAATAATTTTTCTTTTATGATTCTGTCAGAATTCATTAAAATTCTCTTTTACTTGCTTTATTTTCTTCCTAAAATATAGTCCATGCTTCCTGTGCTTAGGGCAACTACATACTTATTGACTTAACAGCGGAAATGTGGAGTGATTTGCTCACTATTTATATTAACTTTCTGTCCCATATCCTTCCTAATGAATAGGCATAATGTAACAATGAATTTTGGAGTGTGTATTCTGGAGTCAAATGATACTAGCTTGATTTAATATTCTTCTCATTGTTTGTTATGTAATTTAATGTGAATGTCCTTCTCAAGCTTCAATTTCCTCACACTCTAAATTAGAATAACAAAATCATAACCATAGGGTTTATTTTCTGAAACACTGCTTCATGGAGTAGCCCTTGTTTTGTTGTGTTTAGAAACCAAATATCAGCTGTGTCTTTGTTTTTGTGTTTTTATTGTATCATTATTTTGGGTTAGAGTTAATATGAAACTCTCCCAGTCTAGCCCAGAAGCGTTCTGCATCCTAGAAAATAAATGCAAAATCAGCTGCGAATAAAGACCTGAGACCCAGAGCTTTTTAGATGTGTTTCTTAAAGCATTAAGGAACAGCTTTATAAGATAAGCAGGGCATTTTATTAGTCTTGAACTCTTGTGCACAAATCATGCCCTTCAGAAAGAGTTCAAAGACTAAGACTTGTTTCTATTTATTACCTCTGTGATAAAGTAATCTTTTCAACATCCTTAAGCAGGCTTACCTAGCCTCTGTAGCATGTTCTTTTAATTAATGATTCTCAGGAACAGCACTTCTCTCTGGATTGACTTCAGAGCTGCCAGTGAACTGAGGCAAATGAGAATGGTGGGGAGTTCAATTTCCTTTGGCTAGCCAGCCCTACAGATGTCCTGATCCACTTCTTTCTTTTGAATCTCCTTGGAGCTGGGAAAAGTCCTTTAATGAAAAATAAATTGTTTCAATAGTGCCATGAGGACCTGTGACTGAAATTTGAACCATCTCATCAAATTTTGAGGCTGAGGACAGATTAAAAAAAAAACCCTTAAATTGAAATTATAGGTGTATTAAAATCTATGGCATAAGGTGTATTAAAACTCACTTGTGTTTTAACTTTTTTTAAACAATGTAGTTTTTAGTGTATACATTTTGAACTTCTATTGCTTAAGCATTGTGTTAAGAATCTTAATCTTTTTGATGGCTTCATGAATAAAATTGTTTTCTTGCCTTTCCTGGAGCCCCAAACAATGCAGCACTTTAAATTTCAGAATGAAAAGATTGTTCGTGGCTTAGATTTTAGCTACTAAAGTAGTTATTAATTCCATACTGTTATTTATTGAATACTTATTTCAATTTATTTCTCAAATGATACCTTCTTTTCCAGCACCTATAGCCTTACTATTTACTCTTGTTGACCAAAGTTCTGGTTTATACTCCCCTCCATATATAAGAGTTCTCAAATCTCTCACATCATACTTTGTAACCACCTTAAACTTGGAAAGACACTTCTACCAGGCCCCTTCATTGTTTCGTTGTTTCATTCCACTGTAGTTCCTATAAAAATTAAACTTCAAATTTATGTAAAATATATAATTAATCTTGTTAATTCCTACATCCTCTGTAATCTGCCCTTCAGAAATGAAAGTATTTCAAAATAATCCAATTAAAAAGTGGGGTGCAGAGCTAAACAGAGAATTCTCAGCAGAAGAATTTCAAATGACTGAAAGACATTTAAGAAACTGCACACCATCCTTAATCAGCAGGAAAATGTAAATCAAAATGATTCTGAGATGCCATCTTACACCTGCCAGTATGGCTAAGATCAAAAGTACTTAAGACAGCTAATGCTGGAGAGGATATGGAATCAGGGGATC